TGGAAACAAGCATTGCTTTAATCCCCAAGCTGGGCAAGGACCCCACTAACTGTGGCAGTTACAGACCCATCTCATTGATTAATATTGACTTAAAATTACTGACAAAAATTATGGCCACCAGATTACAACCTCTGCTTCCAGGGCTCATACATCAAGACCAATCAGGATTCCTTCCAGGTAGGGAAGCAAAAAACACCACCACTAAAATCATCAGCCTGATGCATTGGGCACAAACAAACAAAGTTCAGAGTGTCCTGCTGGCCATCAATGCCGAAAAGGCCTTCGATCGGGTGAGCTGGTCTCTAATGTTAACAACGATGCATCACTTGGTCTTTGGGTCACGATGGCAGGAGTGGCTGGCATTGATTTACTCATCACCCACAGTCTGACTGCGTATCAATGGCCAATTGTCCAATCCAGTCCTGATAACTAATGGCACATGGCAAGGGTGCCCTCTGTTGTCCCTATTATTCATCCTTGTTCTGGAACCGTTCCTACAAGGAGTTAGAGATAACCAACGGATCCAAGACTTTCAAATCAAAGGACAAGAATATAAGATCTCTTTTGTGGACGATCTACTATTCACAATCTCAAATCCACTCAACACTATACCACTCATACTTGCAGAAATGGACAGATACAGTGTAATATCCAATTCCCAGGCAAACCTTACCAAGTGTGAAATACTCCCTCTCTACACAACCCCAGAAGTAGACAAACTCCTGCAATGAAGATTTAACTTTTCTTGGGCCAACAGTCCAATTAAATATCTTGGGATCCACCTGCCAATTAAGGTAGCCTAGATTAGGTGTTTTTAATAAAACTGAAAATTGTTCAGCATTAAAATGACTGTTTAGTAGATAAGCGAGTGCGCTGGATTTTCATTTTCACTGTACTTATTGGCCCCCAGCAGCACCCTAATTTAGCATGTGTAGGTGAGTGCAGCCAAACCCTTATTTTCTCATATATGTATATATTTAGGAGTCTAGCCAGCTCCATGGGTTTTGCACCCCTCCCTGTTACAGGTGCCTCATCTCAGGATCCTATTTAAGCATTGTACTGCAGAGACATCGAGATGGAAGGATTTCCCCAAGTGAGAAGCTCATTTAGCAGACAGAGTAGGACCTGCCAAAGATGGGGTACATTGACGTTGTGGCAGGCTTATGCAATGTATGATCATATACTGTAACTAAACCCCCATTATATTTTTTTGCCTAGATTAGGTGTTTTTAATAAAACTGAAAATTGTTCAGCATTAAAATGACTGTTTAGTAGATAAGCGAGTGCGCTGGATTTTCATTTTCACTGTACTTATTGGCCCCCAGCAGCACCCTAATTTAGCATGTGTAGGTGAGTGCAGCCAAACCCTTATTTTCTCATATATGTATATATTTAGGAGTCTAGCCAGCTCCATGGGTTTTGCACCCCTCCCTGTTACAGGTGCCTCATCTCAGGATCCTATTTAAGCATTGTACTGCAGAGACCTCGAGATGGAAGGATTTCCCCAAGTGAGAAGCTCATTTAGCAGACAGAGTAGGACCTGCCAAAGATGGGGTACATTGGCGTTGTGGCAGGCTTATGCAATGTATGATCATATACTGTAACTAAACCCCCATTATATTTTTTTGCCTAGATTAGGTGTTTTTAATAAAACTGAAAATTGTTCAGCATTAAAATGACTGTTTAGTAGATAAGCGAGTGCGCTGGATTTTCATTTTCAAGGATATATGAATGGACCAGGGAATCCCCAACTCAACAATGGGTTACCATAGAAGAATCATTCTTTGACATACCATTGCAGACGATACCATGGCATAAATCCAGTCAGGCTTACCTCATAAACAAAAAACACCCAACCATAGCAGCAACGCTTCGAATATGGTCACACTTATCACAATCCATGGCTCTCAGGCCATACCCTTCCCCGTTATACCCTCTCACACACAATCCACTTTTTCAGGAATGAAAATCGGGGAAAGGATACAGACTCTACCACGACCAACCTTATTTGTCACTCCGAGACATGACCAGGGACCATAACATAAAACCATTACATTAGTTAATCACCACAGGCACTCAACAACTACACTACAACCAGATTACACACTTCATTAGGAGCCTGAGTGTTCTACCCAAAGGAGACCGGGAGCTCATGAAATTTGAACAATTCTGTAGTACCCACCCACTGAAAAACAGATTACTATCCACCTTGTACACACAAATACAAAACTCACATCCTCCTGTTCTCCCTAGGTTTATGACTAAATGGGCAGAGGAACTATACATAGATATAGCACAGGAACAACGGCAGAACATCTGTATAAGAGTGCATAAAGCAACCACCTCCACTGCGGCGCAAGAAAGCAATTACAAACGCCTCACACGCTGGCACTATAGACCCGCCAAGATCCATAAGATATACCACAGGATAGGTGCTGGAGATGTCTCCAAATGGAGGCACACCCGGCACACATTTGGTGACAATGCCCAATAATTTCCAAATATTTGGAGCGTATCCACACGCTCATTCAGATAATAACAAACACAAAAATACCACTCTCACCAGAATATTTCCTCTTTCTGACACCTTCACCTCACCCCAGGAAACATGAGACAGTATTAATCTTGCAACTAATGATGGCAGCCGCTCAGCTAATCCCGCTAAAGTGGAAACAGCTAAATCCACCATCCATTAGGGAATGGATACAACGGGTAGAAGGAATCAAGCAGATGGAGGAAATTACATACGCCCTAAATTTTAGCAAATTCACCAGAATATGGGAACATTGGAATGCCTTTATGAAGGCAGCTACAAGGGCCTACTAAACAGTATCAGTCACATGAAATTGAACACTTAATGTAATCCGCACAGTGCATGGACTAGCACTAAAAGGTTGCCTGCCATCCACAGGCGTACAAAATTCCATGCACATAGTAAACATAATAGGACCTAATCAAAGTCCTATTAGTCTATGCTACCCCTGGGATTTTAAATTTAACAAGATGATAATCTCTACATAGGCATATCAGTATATGGTGGGAAAGAGACAATGTATATCCTAAGATACTTCCACCTACTCCACCAGGTTATTTTGTTTTATTATACTAGTAGAATATATTAAGAGTCAGCAAGAACCGCAGACTGTAATGTGTTACACTAGTAATCTACAATCATCAACCAAAAATGTATTACCACGCAGCTAGTAAACGGAAAGGAAATTGTTAATATTATTGGATATGTTAATATTATTGGATGTGATTTTTATGACACTTTTGTATCACCGCAATTATGTTACACAATTATGTTACACAAATTATTATGTCTCGAATATCATTGTTATATTTGCAAAAAACAAATAAAAATAAAAAAAAATAAAAACTATTACAAATCCTGACAGGAACAATACGTTTATGAGGACCCTTCTCAGAGAAGCTCACAATCTAGAGGATGGATATACATATGTTGTAAAAAGGACGACCCAACTGAGAGTAGTGGCAGATGTTCTCTCAGTCAGTAGCTGCTAAATGGCAAAAAAAAAATCCATTTTAATTCAGCTCTCTCCCATTCGTAAAATGAAAATGGGGACAGAAAAGAACAACTTAATTGTGTCTTCCGCAATCCCCACCAGCCATTATTATAAAAACTGAATTATTTATATGTACACACATTTACTATTTAATGTGATTAATAAAGCTTGTTGAGAATGGGTGCCCATGTATTTTTTTGTTAAGAGAGTACTGCTCCTTGCACATGACATACGTAGTTGATAACAGAGTTACCTGCTTGCGATGCCTAAATTCTGCACAAGTAGTGTACTAACTTGGAGTATCAGGGGGTGAGCTAACCCCGGAATAGTAGAGAGCTACTGGGATCAGCTTGTGCTCTGACTACATGACCTCCTGTCAGAAAATGGGATTCAACATTACCCTAGTCCTGGCAAAAAATACAGAGCTGCAAGGAGCAGAGCAAGCATGCACAGAGTGATCCCAGCAGAAATACTGGACACTAGGGTTATAAATATGCATGTGCATGTGTGAGTGCATATGAATGTGTATGTGTGTATGAACGTGTGTGTGTGTTCTTATAAATGTAAGCATAAGTCTGAGTATGCTTACATGTGTGTATATAAATGTGAGTATGTGTGTTTGTAATTTCCCTAACTAAAGGTTGTTAGGGGCAGGTCCGGTGCAAGGATTTTTGCCGCCCTAGGCAAAAGTAAAGTTTGCCGCCCCCCCCATGTGACATCACAATGCCCCACCCGTATGATCTGCCATGTTAACTAATGTCAGTGCTGCAGTGCCGCTGTGTTTACATTAAAAGGCCTGCAGGGACAGGCTATAGACACCAGAACCACTACATTAAGATGCATTGGTTCTGGGGACTATAGTGTTTCTTTAATGTGAGGTAAATTAGAGATTAGTGCCACGAATAATATACTAGATTGCCTACTTACAACCAGATGAGGATGATGATGGGCTCTAGCTGCAGTCTGGCTACACTGGTTTGGTGTAGAACAGGATCTCTGGAGGCTGTTTGTAACTGTAAAAGCAAGAAAATAGGGGGATGGGTCTGCGCCAATGTGCACAATGATTGATAATATTGAGTCCAATAGGGTCTATGTTGTCGTTTCCAAAGTTCTACTTTTAGCGATATCCAGAAGGTGTCGATGACGTGAAGAGTAATCCAAATATATAAAAATAGAAGAGATCTTACTTACAATTGGCAGAGCTTAATCCAGCTCTGGTATGAATGGCTTACAGCGGTATTATCCCGCTTGCAGGATATTCGGCAGGTGTCCTCTTCTTTGTAGTGACAGGTGGCCAAGTTGGAAATAAAAATAAAGACAATGATGGTGCAGTATGTTCTACACGTTTAGTAAAAATTATAAAATATAGTTACATAGTTACATAGTTACATAGCTGAAAAGAGACTTGCGTCCATCAAGTTCAGCCTACCTCACATTTGTTTTTTGCTGTTGATCCAAAAGAAGGCAAAAAAACCCAGTTTGAAGCACAATTTTGCAACAAGCTAGGAAAAAAATTCCTTCTTGACCCCAGAATAGCAGTCAGATTTATCCTTGGATCAAGCAGTTATTACCCTACATTGAAAGATTATATCCTTGAATATTCTGTTCTTGCAAGTATGCATCTAGTAGCCGTTTGAACATCTGTATGGACTCTGATAAAACCACTTCTTCAGGCAGTGAATTCCACATCCTGATTGTTCTTACAGTAAAAAAACCTTTCCTTTGCCTTAGACAAAATCTTCTTTCTTCCAGTCTAAATGCATGGCCTCGTGTCCTATGTAAAGTCCGGTTTGTGAATAGATTTCCATAGTAGATACACTCACATTCGGTAGAGCTTTGACTAGCTCTAGTTAGTTAGGCGTACAGCGGTATCATCCCCGCTTGTAGGATATAGGGTGAGTGATCTTGGTGAGAATATCAGGAGCTCGGAGAGAAGATAAAACAGCGATAGTGCTCTCAATAAAATCTTAGTAATAAAATAAAATAATAAAATATACTCACAATGTATAGGGCAGGCTAACTGCTCTATGTGACAGCGTAGGTGGTATAATCCCCACCTAGGATTCTTTGGAGTATAGTATACAGGAGTTAAAAATAATAAAAGAAGTATATAGTATAAAATGTATATAAAACGTTTATAAAAAAGCCAGGTAACAAAAAAGATCACTTATAGTGAAAAAAAGTAAAAAATTGTCACTATTAGACTCACAAATTAATGACCTTAAAGAGCAATTGCTACCATTCCTTGAAACAAAAGTTTACAAATAAAATTCCATTCTCATCCAAAGTAAAATTGAAAAAATTGAAACTGATACTAAACATATCAAAGTAACAAAATATATCAGAGACAAGTCAGATTATGCGAACAATCAAGTTAGAACATATCATCAGAACAAAATATACACTTCTGAAGCACTATCACCAAACAAACAATATGCATCAAAAGAATACTCTAATCACCTCAGATATATATCTAAACAAAGAATCCCATTCTCTCGCAATTACCCTATCACGAAAACCAGGAAACTTTCACATCACTCACCACAAAGGATACGTCAAAACAGATCGTATACATACCATCACCATACCCCTTCACTAAGACATCACCGACCTGCCAAACACTCCCGCTACCAATACCAACCCCAACCCAAATATCAAACCACCTCACGAAGAATACCTCCAACATACGCCCATTCATCTGATTACTATAATGTACCCAGTCCCACCATCAAACCAGCATCACCTAAGCCCCAAAGAACCAGATTCACTAATCAAAAAAGCAATGAATATCTCAACCATCCTAAAACCCCTATCACCTATCAACATCCTAACAGATACCAATTATTATCAATAGACTCTGAAATTACATAGTTACATAGTTACATAGCTGAAAAGAGACTTGCGTCCATCAAGTTCAGCCTACCTCACATTTGTTTTTTGCTGTTGATCCAAAAGAAGGCAAAAAAAACCCAGTTTGAAGCACAATTTTGCAACAAGCTAGGAAAAAAATCCCTTCTTCACCCCAGAATGGCAGTCAGATTTATCCTTGGATCAAGCAGTTATTGCCCTACATTGAAAGATTATATCCTTGAATATTCTGTTCTTGCAAGTATGCATCTAGTAGCCGTTTGAACATCTGTATGGACTCTGATAAAACCACTTTGTCAGGCAGAGAATTCCACATCCTGATTGTTCTTACAGTAAAAAAAAAATTTCTTTGCCTTAGACTAAATCTTCTTTCTTCCAGTCTAAACGCATGGCCTCGTGTCCTATGTAAAGTCCAGTTTGTGAATAGATTTCCACACAATGGTTTGTATTGGCCCCGAATATATTTGTATAATGTTATCATATCCCCTCTCAGGCGACGTTTTTCTAAACTAAATAGGTTTAAATTTGTTAACCTTTCTTCATAGCGATATGTTCCATTCCTTTTATTAGTTTTGTAGCCCGCCTCTGCACTTTTTCTAGTGCCATAATATCCTTCTTTAGAACAGGTGCCCAAAATTGCACAGCATATTCAATATGGGGGTCTTACCAGTGATTTATAAAGAGGCAAAATTATATTCTTGTCCCGAGAATGAATGCCCTTTTTCATGCATGACAATACCTTACTGGCCTTGGCCACTGCTGATTGACATTGCACATTGTTGCATAGTTTGTTGTCTATAACAATTCCCAAGTCCTTTTCATGTGTTGTTATCCCTAATTCGCTTCCATTAAGGGTATACGTTGCTTGTGTATTCTTTACGCCGAAGTGCATAACTTTGCATTTTTCAACATTAAATTTCATCTGCCATTTGAGTGCCCAGTCCCCCAGTCTATCTAAATCCCTCTGCAGCAAAGTAATATCTTGCTCACATTGTATTGTTTTACACAGTTTGGTGTCATCTGCAAACACTGAAACATGACTTTCAATGCAGTCTTCAAGATCATTTATAAACATGTTAAATAGAAAGGGTCCCAGAACAGACCCCTGAGGGACACCACTTGCCAGCTCTGTCCAGCTTGAAAATTTACCAATAATGACAATTCTTTGTACTCTGTTTTTAAGTCAATGTTCTACCCAAGAACAAGCATTTACATCTAGAGCGATTTCTTTGAGTTTGAACACTAATCTATTGTGTGGAACTGTATCAAATGCCTTGGCAAAATCCAAATAGATCACATCCACGGCAACACCCTGATCTATACTTCTACTTACTTCTTCGTAGAACGCAATCAAGTTAGTTTGACATGACCTGTGCTTCATAAAACCATGCTGATTTTTGCTGATAACCATGTTCTTCTCAAGGAATTCTTGAATATTATCCCTTAATAACCTTTCAAATATTTTACAAGCCACAGAAGTTAAGCTCACAGGTCTATAATTTCCAGGCAAGGATTTTGAACCCTTTTTGAATATTGGAACCACATCTGCCTTCTTCCAATCCTCCGGAACACTTCCTGAAAGAAAAGAATCTTGAAAGATTAAAAACAGAGGTTCACTTATTTCTGCACTTAGTTCCTTAAGTACATGTGGATGGATACCGTCAGGCCCTGGAGCTTTGTTTATATTAACTTTCTTTAGTTGCTGCAGCACCTTGTCTTGAGTTAACCAATTACAATTATTCTGCAAGTTTTTAGTAGCAATCATTTGCACATCTATTGCCATGGGTTCTTCCTTAATATATACGGAGGAGAAATAGTTATTTAAAATTCCTGCCTTTTCCAGGTCTTCATTAACTAACACCCCCGTTTCAGTTTTTAGTGTACCTACACTTTCATTTTGTTTTTTTTTAGAATTTATGTGCTTAAAAAATGCTTTGGTGTTTGTTTTGCTCTCTTCAGCTATCATTATTTCATTTTGAAGTTTAGCAAGTCTAATTGCCTTTTTGCACACGTTATTTGCATCCTTGTATCTTTTATAAGATGCATCTGATTTGTCCGATTTAAATGCTTTAAATGCCCTTTTCTTAGTTGTAATCTCTTGTTTTACTTCTCTACTAAGCCACATTGGTTTTAATTTGTTTCTTTTATATTTATTTCCCAACGGTACATACTGAGAAATGTACCTTTTTAATATTTGTTGGAAGATTATCCATTTATCCTCAGTGTTTTTTTCACTAAAGAGTTTATGCCAGTCAATATATTGTAAAGCTTCCCTTAACTTAAGAACATTTTTTAGATATTCAGACCCATCACAACACATGCACACTGACACCTTACCCTTCAAGAGCAAAGAAAAGAAATCTAAGTTTAGAGGAAAGCGAGGTGGAAGACGATCACAAAAGAGAGAGATTAGGAAGACTATAAATCCCAAAACCGAAAAAGAGTGTGGCATTTTTAACCTATCCCAAAAAATTTTAACTTCAGCACAAATCTCTGTTTTAACCAAAGGCCTTAAATTTGCCCTGTGACGAGACCAATCTCGCCACATTGCATTGGAGAAGCCTGGTTGCTCGCCTGTTGCCTTTGGATTTGCCCCCATGTTAAAAGGCTTGATTTTCCCCTGCAAAGACAAGAAAGCCGGGTCATTTGGTGCTTGCCCTGTTTGAGCAGTGATACCCCAGATAGCTATGTCATGGATACAAAAAGATATGGAAGGGCTGCGCCAAATAAGGGTAGATAGTCCAGTAAAGTATTGCTAGGGTGCCAATAGATGGTCTAGGATACTTGATAGAGTTCCTCTGTGGATGCGTTTAGTGTAGACCGTTCCGTATATGTAAATACAAGAGAGGTAGAGGCGACTAATGGTATAGTATGAAAGTTCAGGGTGTGATAGTTAACAAAAAGTAAAGAACTCACATTCAAGAGAGCTATGGCCAGCTCTGGTGTGGATTGCGTACAGCGGTATAATCCCCGCTTATGGGATATGTAGGGAGGGAGTCTCCGTCAACACAGTCTGGTAGTCCAGAACTCGGAAAAGAAAGACAGAAAGCAACAATAGTGCTCTCAATTTTGATGTGGTTCAATGTGCAGATAAGAAGAAGTAAAAACTCACATTTGAGGGAGCTATGGCCAGCTCTGGTGTGGATAGCTTACAGCGGTATAATCCCCTCTTATAGGATATGTAGCGGCGATACGTCCGTCAGCACCGTCTGGTGATCCAAGGCTCCAATATAGAAGAATAAAAAGCAGCAATAGTGGGGGAGTGATGACGT